CCCCAGAATTTCCCAATGTTCAACGATCGAACTGTTCTCTCCGTCGAGTTTCTTCGAATTCTCATGTAGGAAAATTTCCGGTTTCTTGTTTTCTCTGCGTCTCTCTCACTCTCTCTCTCTCTCCTTTTCCTCATTTTTGACATTTTTCCCGGTCAAAAATGGTCGATTTTTTCTGGAAAATTCTAGAACATATTCAATCTTGTGACTCAAATTTTCTTCAATCATAGTCATATGAGAAATTATCAGCCAGGTGCAAAAAATAGGGGGTGATTGACACACTGGTGATAATTAATTTCATTCTTTTTCGCCCCAAAAAAATGACCAAATGACGCGTTTTAGCACTTTTTAAGCTTGAAATTCAAATTTCCCGTCTTTTTCTACCCCTAGAACACAAAATTTAGGTTCTTCTCGAGAGTTTGAATTTGGGATCTGGAGAAGAGGAAGGGAAATTTGGAGAAGACCTAATTTCGGGTTTTAGGTCATTTTGAGCTCTTTTTTCATTTGGAATTCGAATTTCCCGGCTATCTTCACCCTTAGAACTCAAAATTCCAAAATTTCTGAAAAATTTTGATTTTGGAATCTGGAGAAGAGGAAGAGGTCTTCTCCGATTTTTCAAAAAAAAAATTTATTTTTTTTTGAATTTTCCTCGTATTCTTGAATGGATAATCGGTTTTCTGACATTTTTCCAACCTAAAACCTATTTTTTCTTCTTCTTCTTATTCTGAAAATCTCTTCTCCAGATTTCACAAAACTTTCCTTTTCCGATGTTTGGAAAAAAAAAAAATTTTTTATTTTATTTTTTTATTTTTTTTTTTTAAATTTTCTTTTTTTTCTCTTCTTTTTTTCCAAACTTTTAGGGATAAGAAGAAGAAGAAGAAGAAGAAGAATCACCTGGTCTTTCCCTTTTTTCCCCTTTTTTTTTGACCCCCTTATCATTGATAAAAGAGATATATGACGACGTCTTCTGATGTAACCTCGAATCTGGAGAATCTCTTCCTTCCTCTTTTCCAGATTTTGAATAAATCGAAATTCGGAAAAACAATTCTTTTTGGGTTTTTTTAAAAGAAAAATAAAATGCATGTTTTAGTCATATGATTAAGCTCCGCCCCCTTTTCCTTTAGGCTCCGCCCACTTTTGGCTCATTTTCACTCAATTTTTCCCCATTTTTTCAATTTTTTTTTTGGGAAAAAAAAATTGTTTTCTGTTCTTCTTTTTCACGCCAAAAATATTTTTTGATCTATCGCAAAAAAATTCCGTTTCTGATACTCTTATCATATTATATCAGTGATATGGTATCATGTCGTGTTCCTGTCACTCCCTCCTCCTTCTTACCAGATGACGATGATATGATTTTCACGTGCATTTTTCAAAGAATTCGACCCCATTGTTGGCCCTGAAAAATTTGGCTGAAAATCTGAAAATTGGCTATAATTTGTTTTTGCTTGAAAAATATAATTTTTGAGTGGAATTTTTGGGTTCCGAAAGCTCAAAAATTGATCTTAACTATAAATTGTGATCTAGAAATGTGAGATTTGGCTGAAAATTGGATTTTTAGAATTTTTTGAAAAAAAAAAAATTTTTTTTTCAATTTTTTGGGTCAAATTTGAGTTTTTAAACGCAAATTTTGCATTTTAAACACCTAGAAATTGGTTTAGAACGCCAAAAATCGTTTTGTTGTGGTTGTTGTTGTTGTTTTCTCCATCACATGACTATTCATTATTTTTTGAATTTTTTGAATAATTTTCTAGACTGGATATTCCAGTTTTTCAGTTTTCAAATTGTTGTGATTGTTGGCTGAAATTTTGTTGTTGTTTTAAATTTTTGTCGTGGACCAATTGTCAGGGGTCCTCTTCTCCTCAAAAAAAAAAAACAAAAAGACAGCAGATGGGAATAGTCCATGATGGACATCATCGTCCTAACTGGAGAGAGGAATCGAACCCAACCCTAGTCAGTTACCGTCCTCCCTCTTCACCGCTACACCACCAGTCGTTGCTTTCAACTAGTTCCACAATGCATATAAGAAAAGGGGAGGTCTGGCCCTCAAAATATTCGAATTTCAGCCAAATTTCAAATTCGATTTTCTCGGATCTGGAATGTCCGCAGCAAAATCTGAATATATATTTGAAAATGTCTCATTCTCAGCTTTCGAATGATATAGGCCTCATATCAAAGTCCCATACCCCAGTTACAACCTTCCCTAGTAAGCTGAAAAATCAAATGAATATAATTCACCAAAAACTTAGGTAAAACCTACCTTGTCATATTTCAGTAACAATTCAAACTTGATTTTCTTGCCAAGATCGGATTCAGCAAAATTCGGATCAAGAGATTTGAAGAGGCAGAAGAGGTGAGAGATGAAGAGGTTGTCCTGAGATTTCCTGAGATGTTTGTGCGAACGGCATCCCGGCTTTTGCAATGCCTACTGCAAATTATGAATACTTCTCAAACTACTCGCACAGTTCAAATACTAGTACATTATTCCAACATCTGCGCGTTTTTCGTATTTTGGACCTCTATTTTTTCTTGGGACCTCTAAACTATTTTTGGGACCTCTAATTTTTTTTGGGACCTCTAATTTTTTTTGGGACCTCTAATTTTTTTTGGGACCTCTATTTTATTTTGGGACCTCTAATTTTTTTTCGGACCTCTATTCTTTTTTGGGACCTCTAAACTAGAATAGAGCCGCTATGACGAGGTCCCAAGGCCCGTTTTCGGCGTCAAAGCCTCCAGAAAAAAAAGACAGCAGATGGAGAAAATGGTTCATGATGGACGGTCCACCTGCTCCTCCTTTTCCTCCTCCTCCTCCTCTCTGCACCCCATCAAATCGAATCGTACTACTAGTACAAACATTCCCAAAAAAGGGGGGTATTCCCCCCTTTCTTTTTGGAAATTGTATTGTTTGTTGTAGCGACAGGTGTGGGGCAAATCAGGGTGATTCGAGAGCATGAGACACGACAGTACATATACGTGTGTATTTGTACATAGTGTCACAGGAGATACGCCCCTTGGGACCCCATTTTTAGCACTATTTACGCATTGGAATAGTGCTAAAAAGTGCTAAAATCTCAATAATTTTGATATTATCGAGAACACACCTTTTAAAATCGGTCTACATTGGATCTGAAATGCCGCTGCTTTAAAAACCAAAAAAAAAACAAACATTGTCTAGAACCCCAAAAATGGTCCAAACTTTCAGAGTCTTCCAGAATCTTCTAGAACTTTCTCACCATTCAAAAGTCGATATTTAACCTCTTCACATTCATCACCACCTTCTGTCACCACTCACCATCTCGAGAAACAGTAATCTGATGAGAGATTGCCGATCTCGTCGGGGGGTAATTACCGCGCACATAAACCTCCTCCTGGCCCATTAAGCCTCATCACCCATTATTTCTACAGTAATCCTAATTGATGCCACGTCATCATGCCCTATTGTCTTCTTCTGAATCTGGGCGGGATGAACACAGCAGCGTCGTTTTATATGTCACAAAAAACGCGTCTGCGTCTCTCGTTTTAAATGAAAAAGGGCGATTTCAGCACCCCCCCCCCCCTTCCCCCACCTGTTGGCTGAAAATGCGTCATTCTCTTCTCTTGTCGTTTTCTTCTTCTTTTTCCTCTCCAATTTTCGGGAAAGCAGAACAGCTGACCCATGGACCCTTCAATTTGATTTTTGACCTGGAAAATGCGATTTTCGGGTTTCGGGACCTTGAAAATTGAAATTTTCATGTCGAAATTCATGTTTACAAGCTTTAGAAATGTGGGAAATTGAGATTTTCAGACTTTTCTAGGCCTTGGAAAGTTGAAATTTGACTTAAGAGCTGAATATGGAGTTCGGGACCGTTTTTAACCCGAGAATTCGAATTTCCCGCATTTTTCGGTTCTAGGAAAAATTCTTCTTCTTCTTCTCCAAATTGTAGATTTTTTCCAAATTTTTTAGACTTGAAAGTTTATTTTTCGAAATTTCAGAAATGTTTGATCTACCCCGGAATTTTTCCTTTTTCTTCTTCTTTTTTTTCCCTTTTTTCGATTTTCAACCATTTTTAGTCTTTTTTTCTGATTTTTTGGTCTTCTTCTTCTTCTTTCTCTTCTTCTTCTTTTTTCCCAAAGAACAGTTGGTGGTCCTCATCCCCCTATTGCTCTTAGCTGGGGGTGCCATGGGACCAATCTAGAAAGTACACAAACCCCCAGCTGTTCTTCTTCTTCTTCTTCTTTTTTCTTCTTTTTCGTTCTTCTCCAGAAATGGGCGGAGCTTAGGAGGAAGAAGAAGAAGAAGAAGAAGGTGCACTTTCTCTGTCTATTTCTCGTGCTCTCTTGGTTTTAGAATCCAAAAGAGTTCAGTCTGGAATTTTTTTTCGGTCTTCTTCTTCTTCTTTTTTTTTGTGAGTTCTGGAGAAGAGGAAGGAATTCTGAAAATTTTTGAAAAGATGAATTTTTTCAAAGTTTTTTGTCATTTTTCAACCTGGACTTTCTTCTTTTCAGGTTGAAATCCTTTTTTTCCTTCTGCTTCTTCTTCTTCTTTCTCTTCTCCAGATTCTGCATGAAATTTTGGAAAAATCTCTAAAGGTGCATTTTTTTACAGTTTTTAGACATTTTCCAACCTGGACTTTCTTCTTTTCAGGTTGAAATCCTTTTTTTTTCTTCTTCTTCTCCTTCCTCTTCTCCAGATCATGGATGTAAATTTTGAAAATTTTTGAAAGATGATTTTTTTTGGGATTTTTGTACATTTTCCAACTTGGACTTTCTTTTTTTTAGGTTGAAATCCTTTTTCTTCCTTTTTCTTCTTCTTCTTCTTTTTTTTCGTCTTCTTCTCCGAATTTTGGAAAATTTTGATTTTTACCTCTTTTTTCGCGCCTTTTCTTCTTCTTCTTTTTTGCTCTTTCTTCAAATTCATTTTTTCTGTTTCAGATTTCTCTCAAACTTCTCTCTACTAACCCCCAAACTCTTTGTATATGATACAAACGAATCGCTCGACGACAACTACAGTAATCCAGCCACCAAAAATGCCGCCGGCTCGCGGGACCAAAACACTCGCCTGGTTTATGGATAACGATATTCTGAGCAATCAAGAAGTGGGCGGAGCCTCAGGACCCCCGGTTGGAGTGATTGGAAGCGGACGGAGGGGTAGCTCGTCGGATGGTGAGTTTTGGAAATTTTTGACGAATCGGGACCTAAATAATAAGAAACTAGAGTAAATTTAAGGTGGAATAGTCGAAACGGCGATGAAAATTGAGCAAAGTTGATTTTTTTGGTCTTTTTCTTCCCCAGATTTTGGTCTTTTTCGAATTTTAGATTTTTTTTTCGATTTTAGAAGGATTTTTAGACAAAAATAAGTGTTCCAATCGATTTTTCTTGCAAATATTAGCCGAGAACGAAGTTTTCAAGAGTTTTGGAGGAGAAAAATCTCTTCTCCAAATTTTAGACAAATCTCTTCTCCCAACTTTATGGTTCCATAGGTTAGAATGGACTAAAAAGGCTGGAAACGGCTGGAAATTGTCCCAAATAGCCTGGAAAAACTGTGTGGTCCACTTCTAGTCGTAATTTTCAAATTCTTGTTCTTCTCCGTATTTTGGTACATATTTTCCAAATTTTGGGTTTTTGCGAATTTCTGGGCTTTAGAGTGATTTTTAGCCTCCAATAGGTGTTTAAAACGATTTCCCAGGCTAAAATTAGCGCTATTTTTTTTTATTAAGCCTAGAACCCGAAAATTTTGAAATTCGGAGAAGAAAATGTCTTCTCCAGATTTTAGGCAAATCTCTTCTCCCAACATTATAGTTCAAAGGGTTAGAATGGACTAAAAAGGCTGGAAATGCCTGGAAATTGTCCCAAATCATCTGGAGAATTCTTGTGGACCACTTTTAGGTTGAAAAATTGAGAAATCAGATTCTGAATCCCTTCCTCCTAACCCAAATTTCAAAAAAAAAAATTGAAAAAAAGACATTTTTTGCTAAAGCTAGAATTTCCAGTCAAATTTATCTCTAGAAAGCTGAAAATTTTTGATATTTACCTTCTTCTTCCTCTTCTCCATATTCAACCCAAAAAGTTTTGGGGAAGAAGAAGAAGAAGAAGAACAAGTTCCTCTTACACCACTTTTCGGATCATCCTTGTAAGGAAGAAGAAGAAAAAGTTGAGATCATCGTTTTCGTTTTTTTTCCTTCTTCTTTTTCTTCTTTCTCTAATTCTCTCTTCTCCAGACGTGGTGTGGGAGGTCTCTATGGAGAAGAAGAAGACAGGCTTTTCGCCCCATCATCATTTTCTCAGGACAGATAGTTCCTTGTTTGTACATGCATTCGCACACACAGTCAGATGACTTCTTCTTCTTCTTCACCATATTTTGGTCTTCTCCGAATTTTGGAGATTTTTTGCGATTTTTGGGATTTTAGAGTGATTTTTAGTTTCTAATAAATGTTTTAAACGATTTCCCAGGCTAAAATTAGCCTAGAACAAAATTTTCAAGAGATTTGGAGAAGAAAATGTGTTCTCCAGATTTTAGGCAAATCTCTTCTCCCAACTTTATGGTTCAGTGGGTTAAAATGGACCAAAATTGCTGAAAATGCCTGGAAATTGTCCCAAATAGCATGGAAAATTTATGTGGTCCACTGTGAGTCGGAATTTCCAAATTCTTCTTCTTCTCCAGATTTTGGTCATGCACCATGAAGGCTGGAAATTGTTGGAAATTGTCCCAAATAGTCTGAAAAAGTTGTGTGGTCCACTTTAAGTCGGAAAAAATCAAAATTTTAAATTCTGAACCCTTTTCCGAACACACATTTTGAAAAAAAAATTTTCAAAAAAAATTTTTTTTTTCGAAATTCCTAATTTTCTTATCAATTTTTGTGATAGTTCCAGAATCGAAATCCACGACGCCACCATCGATTCAACAACAACAACACCTTCAACAACACCTGTACCACCTTCAGAATCTTCAGAATCATCACCATCAAAATCAGAATTCACACGTTCAGAATCAGCAGAAGAAGCACAAGAAGTTTCGGAAAACGGCGTCGGGCCGTCGTGAAGGTTTTCAGGCGTCGTCGCAAGCGATGTCCGAATCCTCGGAAGACGGCGTCGTTGCATCCGCTACAGTAATCTCAGGGGCCACGTCATCTGGAGCCGCACCGACGTCTTCTGGAAATGAGGAGTACTGGTTTTATGATGTGCAATCGGATGGATACTATTATGAGCAGAATGGTGCGAAAGGGTGGAGACGGAGACAGCCGAACGCCGCGGTTCATAAGTCACAGAATGGGAAGGATCAGGTGAGCAATAATTCTTGGAGTTTGAGTTTTTGAGATTTTTTAGCTTGATAATAAGAAACTAGAGAAAATTTGAGACGGATTAGTCGAAACCCCGATTCAAATTGAGCAACTTTGAAATCTTTGGTCTTTTTCTTCTCCAGATTTTGGTTTTTTTTTCCGAATTTGCGATTTTCTCTGTTTTAGATTGATTTCTAGCTAAAATTGAGTGCCTTAATCAATTTTTCTGACGAAAATCACCCTAGAACCCAAAAATTTTGAGTTTTGGAGAAGAAAATGTCTTCTCCAGATTTTAGGCAAACCTCTTCTCCCAACTTTATGGTTCCATAGGTTAGAATGGACTAAAAAGACTGGAAATGCCTGGAATTTGTCCAAAATGGCCTGGACAATTTATGTGGTCCACTTTTAGGGGAAAATTTGGAAAATTCTGAATTCCTTCTTTCTCCTTCTTCCTAACCCCAAATTTAAAATTTTTCGAAATTTGAAATTTTTCATTTTCAAAGTGCTTCCCAGACAAAAAAAACGGTTTCAACGAATTTCCTAGTTAAAATTAGCCTAAAAATGAGTGTTGGAGAAGAAAATCCCTTCTCCAGATTTTAGACAAATCTCTTCTCCCAACTTTATGGTTCCATAGGTTAGAATAGACTAAAAAGACTGGAAATGCCTGGAAATTGTCCCAAATGACCTGGACAATTTATGTGATCCACTTTTAGTCCGCAATGTCTCCTTCCTCTTCTCCAGATTCAGTCTTCTTCTTCTTCTTCTTCTTCTTCTTCTCCGAATTTAACGTTTTTTTTCAAATTAACCTCAGAATAGACCAAAAGTATCCCAAGTCACATGGAGATTTTTGTTTTTAGCGAAATTTTATTCTAGAACCTTTCCTTTCTCTTCTGAAGCCCTTCTCCAGATTTTGAAAATTTTTGAAATCAAAAATTCTTTTTTAGTCACTTTTTGATGACAAAAAATTGCTAGACGATGATAATCTTTTGCGAATTTCGCAATATTCTCAAATTCTCTTCTTCTTCTTCTTCTTCTTCTTTTGATCTCTGGCCACCTCCACGTCTTCTTTTTCTTCTTCTTCTTCTTCTTCTCCGTATTCTGACTCATTTCTTGCTCAAAATGTGTCTATCTATTCTGGAGCATGGATAGATCGCTGGTAGTTCTGACATTGTACTTTGAGGACTTCTTTGAGGACTTCTTCCTCCTCTCCTAAATGGAAAAGAAGAAGAAGAAGAAGAAGAAGAAGGATGTATAGGAAAAGAGCATGAGTACTTTTGAGCCGACCCCTAAGCAGGCTTCAGCTGAAAAGAGCAAAAAAGGGGCAGAATTGGTCAGAATGGACTAGAAAAGGCTGGAATAAGAAGAAGAAGAAGAAGAAGAAGAAGAAGAAGGGACCAAAATCTGGAGAAGAAGAAGAATTTCCAGGAATTTCCAACTTCTTGGAACTCTTCTTCTCCTTCTTCTTCTTCTCCTTCTTCTTCTTCTTCTTCTTTTCCGTTTTTGACCCAAAAATCCAAAATAAGGAAAAGAAGAAGAAGAAGAAGAAGAAGAAGAAGAAAAGAACTTTTAAATTGGTTTTGATAATTTTGAGACTTGAATTTTCTTCTTTTCTAGAAACTCGTTCTTCTTCTTCCTCTTCTCCATATACTCGAGAAAAGAAGAAGAAGAAGAAGAAGAATCCAGTATTTTTTTTTGGGCAAAAAGAAGAAGAAGAAGAAGAAGAAGCGGAAAATGACCACTACTGGAACTTAAGCCCAACAACAACAATAACAAAATTATGTTATTCGGAGAAGGAGAAGAAGAAGAAGAAGAAGAACTTGAACTATTAGAAAAAAAAAGTTTTGAAATAGGTGCAGAGAAGGGATCTTAGAACATTAATTAGAAAAAAAAATGAAAAATTTCGAAATTTGGGTTTTGGAGAAGAAGAAGACCTAGATCTGAAGAAGACCGAAAATTTAGGAAAAAGGGAATTTTTCGCTGGAATATAATAAATTCAGTGTGGTTTTCCTTCTTTTCACATTTTTACTCTTTTTCTGAAACTTTGAAATTCGGAATCTGGAGAAGAAGAAGACCTAGATCTGAAGAAGACCGAAAATTTAGGAAAAAAGGAATTTTTTGCTGGAATATAGTAAATCTAGACTGGTTTTTTTTACTTTTAAGACTTTCGATTTGTTGGAAACTTTGAAATTTGGAATTTGAAGAAGAAGAAGAAGACCTAACTCTGGAGAAGAGTTTTTCTTCTCGAAAACTCTTGAAAATTGCGTTCCAGGCTAATTTTCATCGGGCAAATCGACTAGAGCACTTATATTTGTCTAAAACCGACTCTAAAAACATGAAATATCAACATTTGAAAAATTTGGAAATTTGGGTTAGGAGGAAGGGAAAAAAAGGAATTCAGAAATCTCAAAATTTTTAGCTAAAAGTGGACCACATAAATTTTCCAGGCTATTTGGGACAATTTTAAGGCATTTTCAGCAATTTTGGTCCATTTTAACGCATTGAACCATAAAGTTGGGAGAAGAGATTTGCCTAAAATCTGGAGAAGAGATTTTCTTCTCCAAAACTCATTTTTAGGCTGATTTGAACCAGGAAAATCGTTAAAACCACTTCTTTCTGTCTAGGAAGCACTTTGAAAATGAAAAATTTCAAATTTCGAAAAATTTTAAATTTGGGGTTAGGAAGAAGGAGAAAGAAGGAATTCAGAATTTTCCAAATTTTCAGCTAAAAGTGGATCACATAAATTGTCCAGGCTATTTGGGACAATTTCCAGGCATTTTCAGCAATTTTGGTCCATTTTAACGCATTGAACCATAAAGTTGGGAGAAGAGATTTGCCTAAAATCTGGAGAAGAGATTTTCTTCTCCAGATTTCAAAAATTTTTGGGTTCTAGGCCAACTTTTGACAGGAAACTCGATTCCGACAGTTATTTTTATCTAGGAAGGACTTTGAAAATGAAAAATTTCAAAATTTGGGTTAGGAAGAAGGAATTCAGAAATTTCAACATTTTTTAACTAAAAGTGGACCACATAAATTTTCCATGCTATTTGGGACAATTTCCAGGCATTTTCAGCAATTTTGGTCCATTTTAACCCATTGAACCATAAAGTTGGGAGAAGAGATTTGCCTAAAATCTGGAGAAGACATTTTTTTCTCCAAATCTCTTGAAAATTGGCTTCTAGGCTAATTTTAACCGGGAAAATTGATTAAAACACTCATTTTCGGCTAAAAACGGCTCTAAAACCTAGAAAATCTCTGAAATTCAAAATTCGGAGAAGACCAAAATCTGGAGAAAAGGAAGACCAAAAATTTCAACCTAGTCTGATTTGCACCATCTTTTCGACTATTCGGATTCAAATTTTCTCCAGTTTCTTATTATTTAGGTCTCAAACCTCAAAAACTCTAATCTTCAGCTAAAAAAATTTGAAATTCCAGCTATTTTAACTAGATTCTGTTTTCAGGAAGTCGCCCATATGAACGTCAATGGCCCATCGAAATACAACCAGCTCCTGGCCGCGCAGACCGCCGCCGCCCAAGCCGCCTTCCTCCAACAGGCCTATCACATGCAGGCCGCGGCCCAAATGGCGGCCCAAAGCCCACCCACACCAAATTCCGGCCCAGGAGCCGCTCAGAATCCAACGATGCGTTATTATGACCCGAATTCTGATGGATTCTTCTACGAAATGGCTTCAGTGGACGGATGGAAACGTCGTCAACCGAATAAGCCTGTCTCGGCATCGGTTTCTGGAATGATTCGTCCGTATTCTCAGAGGCCTCCGACGTCTTCTGGAGCATCTGGAGCCACTTCGTCGTCGTCGTCGTCCTATGGAGCCGCGCTGGCACGTGGACAATTCCCGAGGAATACGGTCAAACAGCCAGAATCCACGTCTCCTGATATCCTCGGAAACGGAGGAGGAGGAGGAGGAGAATCATCGACACCAGGACTTCAGGATTCTGGATCCACGTCATCGTCGACGTGTGGAGAGCCAACTACCAACTTTTCGGAGTTCTTGGCATCGGTTCAACGGCCATCGGCGTTGAAATTGATGGAAAAGGATTCGGGAGCCATGGAGAATGCGCCCAACTCGACTGCCGCGCTTTTCGATGCGATGTTGGCGGATTTAAACGCCGGGAGCAAGGTAAGGGGACTTGAAATTTGAGAAATTGGAAAATAATCTAAAAAACCAGCCATTTCGAGCAGAAAAACGCTGAAAAACAAGAAATTCTGAAAAATATTTTATACTGAGAAATCGTCCAAATTTATCAACTTTTAAGAAATTTTAGAGCTTCACGACCTTTAAAATGAAAAACTAAAAAGAATTTGAGCTGCGATAATCGAAAAGCCGATCAAAATTGAGCAAATTTGAGATTTTTGGTCTTCTTCTTCTCCAGATATCGGTCTTTTCCGAATTTTAGCGATTTTTTAGGTTTTAGCGTCGGTTCTAGTCTAAATTGAGTGTTTTAATCGATTTTCCCGAAGATAATTACCTCAGAGTGAAAATTTTGGGTTTTGGAGAAGAAAATCTCTTCTCCAGATTTTGGGCAAATCTCTTTTCCCAACTTTATGGTTCATAGGGTTAGAATGGATCAAAAAGACTGGAAATGCCTGGAAATTGTCCCAAATCGTCTAGAGAATTTATGTGATCCACTTTTAGCTGAAAATTTGGAAAATTCTGAATTCCTTCTTTCTCCTTCTTCCTAACCCCAAATTTAAAATTTTTCGAAATTTGAAATTTTTCATTTTCAAAGTGCTTCCTAGACAGAAAGAAGTGGTTTTAACGATTTTTCCTGGTTCAAATTAGCCTATAAATGAGTTTTGGAGAAGAAAATCTCTTCTCCAGATTTTAGACAAATCTCTTCCCCCAACTTTATGGTTCCATAGGTTAGAATGGACTAAAAAGGCTGAAAATAGCTTGAAATTGTTCCAAACAGTCTGGAAAAGAACTTTGGTCCACGCTTAGAAAAAAATTTTCAAATTCTTCTTCTTCTCCAGATTTTGGTCCTTTCCGAATTTTGAGTTTTAGCGATTTGCTGAGTTTTAGATTGATTTCTAGCCAAAATTGAGTGTTTTAATCGATTTTTCCGACGAAAATCACTCTAGAACTCAAACATTTTGAGTTTTGGAGAAGAAAATCTCTTCTTCAAATTTTAGACAAATCTCTTCTCCCAACTTTATGGTTCAATGGGTTAAAATGGACCAAATTTTTGGAAATTTGCTGGAAAATGTCCCAAATCGTCTAGAGAATTTGTGTGGTCCACTTTTATCGAATTTTCGATAATTTTAAGCTGAGCAATCGGGTCAAAATACTGAGTACCTTCCTCCTAACCCCAATTTCAAAAAAAAAATTTGAAAAAAAAAAATTTTTCAGACGCCCGTCTACTCTTCGCATCCACTCTCCTCGTCGAACTTTTCCACAATTCCCACGTCACCAATGAAGCCGATGACGTCGGATTCATGGAATTCGTTCCGCTCGTGCAGCCTCTTCTCCCCAATCAAACCATCGAAACGCGTCGTTCTGGGTGCCACATCGTCTGGATTCAGCCAACCAATGGGCGCCACTCCAATCATGGACCTGAATGACGATACGATGAACATGTTGATGCGCGATTTGGACAAATTGTGGGCAAACACGCCGGTTTCGGGCCTTAATCAGGCTTAAATTGGCGGTTTTTGGTCTTTTTTCAGGCTCAAAATGACTCATTTCGGCTCATTTTGACCCCGAGAATCTATAGTTTTAGACTTTTATTCCCCCCCTGTCTTGTCTGTAAAATTTGGAAGCTCCGCCCCCTTTCTGTATATAGATCCTTAGACCACTGGTGGTGATTGTCTCTTTTCCCCTTCCCTAGCCACGTTTTACGATATATATGTTGGATATTTTTTTCTCGCTTTTTTTTTGCTCTTTTTTTTCTGTACCAATATAGTGTAGGCCCGCCCCCCTCTGCCCTTGGAAAAGTTGATTTTTGTGGAATTTTTGGTTTTTTGAGAGGTTTCTAGTGGGAAATTTGAATTTTTGAGCTTAAAAATGAGATTTGCGAGGTTTTTTAGCCCCGAAAGCGATTTTTCCGGGGTTTTTGGACCCCGAAATGGCCGATTTTGGAGATTTTGGAGCCCGAAAGTTTTAAGCTGAGCAATTTTGGGAATTGTCAGAAAATGGTCATTTTTCGCCTGGAAAAATGGATTTTTGGGTTTTCTCACCTGAAAAAATCAATTTTCCAGGTCTTTTTGACTCCAAATTCACATTTTGGACCCCCGAAAAATCGAAAAATTAAAGCTGAGCAATTTTGAAAATTTTCGAAAAAAACTTTTTTTTCAAATTTTTCTCAAAATTTCAAATTTCCCGCCAGACCTCGGAAAACTATTTTTTTGTTCCAAAAATTCACTTCCAAGCCCCGCCCCTTTCTTAGGATTACTGTAGAAAGTATTGTAGGTTCTTAGAATTCCTCCACCAAACTTTCTCGGCTTAATTTTATTATTTTTTTGAATTGTTCAAATTTCCCGCCAATTTTAAGTTTCGAAAAAAAATTCAATTTTTTTTGTATACTAAACATTCCTTAGCTCCGCCCCTTTTTTGAAGAAGCCCCGCCCACATGTAGTATTTGTGTGTGTGTGTTTTTGCCCCATATTTGTACTATATATGAATACCGTAGACCCTAATTTTTGATGGCTCCGCCCACTTTTTTTTTATTACTGTAGTATTATTGATTTTTCCCTTCGAAACAACACATTTCCCCCTAATTTTCAGAATACGTAGTACATTCATTTTTTTTGTGTGTTTTCTTTGATTTTCAGCAATGATTGAAATCTGAAATAAATTCGTAGAATACGAAACTTTTTTTTTTGAGAATTTTCAGATTTTTGAAAATATAATCAAATTGGAAAAAATTTCCTCAGATGAAAATGGCTTTCTCTTGGAATTTTGACTTTAAATTATCTACCGTAATCCTTCGAATTTCCACTCGAGACCCAAGATTTTCGAATTTCTCTTAACAAGATAAACTCAAAAATGAAAAGTTCAAAAAAATTGGGTAATTTTCAGCCAAGTTATGATGATTTTTCTGAATTTTTTTTTCAATTTTTTGATTTTTTCAAGATGATCCAAAATATTTCATTTTAGGCTCATTTTCACCGGCCTGACGAGCTAAATCTGAAAATTTTAGAAAAATGCCACTCTTTGACCTGAAAACCGGAAAATGTATCGGAATGCCCAACAATCGTGGATCGATGGTCTTCGATTTTAACAAGAAGAGTGGACGAGTCACAATTCATGATACTTCGGATTTCTATGGATGGACCAGAAAAGAAAAAACCGAGTTTCTGAAAGTGAGATTGGTAGCTTTAATTCAAAAAAAGTTTATGAAAAACGGATAAAAATGAAGCAAGTTATGTGTTTTTTAAAAATATCAAAAAAGTGAAAATTTCAAACTACCGTAACCCGCTAAATTTTTGCCAGGAATCAAAAAGTATTTAGATTATTAAAATTAGCTCATTGAGCCGGTTAAAATGACTATAAACATGCCATACTTTTGAAAAATTTGAATTTTGGGGTTTAAAGGCGCATGGTCCTTTGAAGTTTCGAACAATTTCAAATTGCGTTCAAAAATTATGGTGTTTGGGTTTATTTTGAAGCTCTTAATGAGCTGAATTCAAAAAAAACGCGTTTTCAAAAATATAGTCGGAAATTAAAGGATTACAGTAGTTTTCATTTTTGGAATTTTTCAAACTACCGTAACCCGCTCAATTTTCATAAAAAATAATATAATTTATTTTTTTTAGATTTGGCTTGTTGAGAGCTTCAAAATAAGTATAACCATGCCATATTTTTGAAGATTTTGAGTTTTCGGGTTTAAAGGCGCATGGTCCTTTGAAATTTCGTAAATTTTCAAATTCGTCCAAAATTCATCGTGTTTAGGCTCATTTTAAAGCTTTAAATGAGCTGAATTCGAAAATGTATGTCTTAAAAAGTTTTGAGAATTTAGTAAAGGATTACTGTAGTTTTAATTTTTGGACATTTTCAAACTACCGTAACCCGCTCAATTTTCGCAAGAAATTAACAATTTTTATATTTCGGTATTCAGCTCGTTGAGAGCTTCAATTCTGGAAATTAATTTTCTAGAATTCTGTAAATAAAACTGAAAATCAAAAATTTCTCGATAAATGATCATTTTTTATTGTAAAAATAAAGTTATATATATATATTTTTTTTGAGATTTCAAAATTTCAGAAAAATACATAACTTGGCTGAAAATTACCCAATTTTTCTGAATTTTGTATTTTTGAGTTTATCTCGTTAAGAGCTTCAAAATGAGCCTAAACATGACCCATTTCTGAGAAAATCGATTTTTCGGATTTTTTGGTCCCGAAAAATTTCGAAAATATCGATTTTTTGAAAATAGGTCTTGTTTATACTCATTTTGACCGGTTTATTGAGCTCAATTCAAAAATGCAAAGATTGTCGGTTCAGCAGCAAAACTACAAAAGTTACAGTCAAATTTGTGAAAATTTCGAAAAATCTGGAAATTTTGGAATTTTCAAAATTCATTGAAATACTGCATATTTATACTCATTCGAACCCTCTAAACATGCTGAATTCAAAAATCACATTTTCCACTTTCCTACAGTAACCCCACTCAAGCCCCGCCCACTTTTACTTTGGCATGGCCCAACTGGTCTCTCTTGAAGTTGAAGGATTGATTTTTTTTTTTGGATTTTTTCAAAATTTTCGAATAATATCTAGAAATCTAGTTTTGTTTAAAAATTTGGGTCATTTTTTTAGAAATTTCAGAAATTTCAAAAATTTCGAAAAAATGAATTTTCACGAGAACTAGAGCGAATTCTTCTCGAAAATGATGACAAATACGTACATGCCACGTGGCAATATGTGGCAAAATCAGAGAAAAAATTTAGTATTTGAAAAATCAAAAAATTTGTCTTCTTCTATTTTTTCTTGTTTGTTATCTTTCTTTTTTTTTACTTTTTTGGTCGTGTTTGTACTTATTTTGCAGCTCCTGACAAGCTAAACTTAAAAATACTATTTTCAAAAAGATTGGGGCATTTTCAGCCAAGTTATGATGATTTTTCTGAAAATTTCGAAATTTTGATTCAAAAAAAAATTTTTTTCCAAAATAGACCGTGCTTAGGCTCATTTTGAAGCTCTCGATAAGCTGAATTTGAACTTCAAATCAAATTTCAAATTTTCAGACAATCCGAAATGAAATCCATGCATTTCCTTGACGGTGGGACGGTGGCGTCTCTACCGGCGCGTTACGGTATTCAGACGGTTATTCAATGGAATGAGAAAACCAAAAAATCGGAAGTCACCTACGAGAAAGTTCCGGAAATTTTCGATAAGTATGAATTCACTGATAAGGAAATGAAGGAAATGAGAGCTGAGAAAAATCCGGCGCTGCAGAAGTTTCTGGATGAGGAACTTCCGAAACGGGTGAGAAAATTTTTTTTAACTTTTCGAGATTTTTAATGTTTCAAAAAAAGCGGTTAAAAACGCGCATTTTGCTGAAAAATTTATTCAAAAATGATGAAAATTGACAAAGTTATGAGGTTTTGAATTTATCCAAATTTTGAAAAATGAAAACTACAGTAATCCTTTAGAGATTCCCCCAAATCGTTTGAAACAGAAATTTTTGAATCAAGCTTACTCAGAGCTTCAAAATGAGCCCAAACACCATAAATTTCGGGCGATTTTGAAAATTTTCGAATTTTCAAAGGACCATGCGCCTTTAAACCCGGAAACTCAAAATTTTCCAAAATATGGCATGATTATACTTATTTTGAAGCTCTCAACAAGCCAAATCTAAAAAAAATAGATTATATTATTTTTTATGAAAATTGAGCGGGTTACGGTAGTTTGAAAATTTCCAAAAATGAAAACTACTGTAATCCTTTAATTTCCGACTAAACTTTTGAAAACGCGTTTTTTTTAAATTCAGCTCATTGAAAGCTTCAAAATGAGCCTAAACACGGTAGAATTTGAAGAAATTTGAATTTTTTCGAATTTTCAATAAACCATGCGCCTTTAAACCCAAAAATTGAAATTTTTCAAAAGTATGACATGTTTATACTCATTTTAACCGGCTCAATGAGCTGATTTCAATAATCTAAATATTTTTGATTCCTGGCAAAAATTTAGCGGGTTACGGTAGTTTGGAATTTTGAAAATTTTCGAAAAAAAAATTTTTTTTAATTTCAAATTTTTTCCAGAATCCGAATGCTGAATTCGTTTGCGTGTTTCAGCCATGACCAAAGAGGGCGAGCCAATCGATTGGAAACTGTGTCCGACTGATCTAGAAGCTTGTCAAAGCTGTCGAGGCACTTCACAATCCTGGCTACTGTCATCGTGACATCCATCCTGGCAACGTCACAATCTGATGGAGTGAGTTGATCTCTAATTAAGATCAGATTCTTATAAATACTCATTTTCAGCGCCCAACCGTCAAGCTGTAATATGATTTCGTGGCAAGCTAGCTTGCAAATTTGTCAGGGAACACCGTACACTTGCTTCGACGATTTGACTGCGGGACCATCGCCGTAACTTCTCCGGCTCGTTAAAATAAGGAATTCTAAAAATTTGAAATGTAAAAAATCAATAAATCTTTACTAATAACATTCATCAGATTCTGTATGTGCGTATGTATGTCGCACGCCTTTTCCCCCATTCAAAGTTAACAGATTGAGCTGAAACCTGGACAGATAGATCAGAATTGTGTCTTAGTTGATGCCCAAAACTTTCTTTTTTCGAAATTTTGATTCAGAAGTCTTCTGGAGACGTTCCTTGGTTTCACCACAAACCCACCGGTAAACTTGTAATATTTAAACGATACATACACACCCCGACAGCAGGCGTACGGTAGCAGCTGTTAATGATATTTCATGAGGGGAAATTACCTTCCGAGAGGATTACAGTATACCCATTTCTGTCGGCATACTGACAAATAGAAAATACATGTGGTTTTTTCTCCCTTATGAGTCATTTATGTCCCTTTGGCGGGACACCCGACACCGTCTGTCTCTCAAAGCTCCGCCCACTTTTTGGGGTATCCAACACCGCTCTATCCGTTCTCATGATTAGTATTCTCATGGGCCCTAACTGATTTTTGGGACCTTTTTACTTATTTTTTCTGATTATTGATAGTTATTCTGAGACCCAGTGTGTATGGGTCCAGAATTTCTAGATTTTTTTGATTTTTTTTTGAAATTTCTATATTTTTGGATCCAAAGTTTTTGAGGTGAGTTTTGAATATTGTCGATTTATTTTAAAAATCCCAAATTCCTCACGTTTTCAGCTTCAAAATGAGCCTAAACACGGCATATTTAAGTGAAAAGCGAAAATTTCAATTTTTCGAAAATGACCATGCGCCTTTAAATTCAAAAATTCAAAGTTAACCGAATTGGGTCGTGTTTAGACTCATTTTGGAGCTAAGAACATGACAAACTCAAAAAATAAAGTTTGAATTCCTCTAAATCGCTGATTTTTGAGTTATGGTCAATTTTCTGAAAGAAAACATTTTTGTTGAAAATTTTGAAATTTCTCTAACTTTTCCAGTTTTCGCTATTTTTGGCGAAATTATAGATTTTCGAATTTCTTACATTCTTGGCTTTAAAATGAGTCTAAACACGACATATCTCGGTCGCTTTTGGTTTTTTCGGCTAGAGCGTGCAGAGAAACGAGACACACTGCGTCTCTGACCCCGAAATTCAAAATAGTGCGAATCGGGTCGTGTTTGGGCTCATTTTAAAGCTAAGAACATGACATAACTGAAAATCGTAGTTAAAAATGTCCTAAATCCCAAGTTTCCGAGAAATGGTCAAATTCTTGAAAAAAAAAACGTTTGAAATTTCTCTAACTTTGCCAGTTCACAATATTTTTAGAAAATTGTTACATTTTCAAGTTTCTTACGTTTCCAGCTTCAAAATGAGCCTGAGCACGACATATTTCAAATGATTTTCGAAATTTTCGATGGCTAGAGCGCAGAGAAACGAGACACTCTGCGTCTCTGACCCCGAAATTCAGAATTAAGCGAATCGGGTCGTGATTATGCTCACTTCGAAACTGAAAACGTAAGAAACTATAAAATGCAAAGAAATGCTGAAAATTTTATAAACTGGCAAATTTTGAGAAATTTCAAAATTTTTCAAAAAACTTTTTTTTTTTTGGAAATTTGAGAATAACTCAAAAACTTGAGATTCAGAACTTTTCTAACTATGATTCGCTATTTTGTCACAGTTTTAGCTCCAAAATGAGCCTAAACACGACCCATTTCCGTTAACTTTGGATTTTTGAATTTAAAGGCGCATGACCATTTTTGAAAATTGGAAAATTCCGTTTTTTTACTAAAAATAAGTGGTGTTTAGGCTCATTTCGAAGCAAAAACCATAAGAAACTCTGAAACCTAATATTGAAAACTTTTCGAACAGATTCTGGAGATGTTAAAGGATGATGAGCTTCTCCAGGCGGAGAGAAAGAAGGCCAATTCTGATGAGAAATCGAAATGGCGTGGATACGATAAGTATGACGATCAACTCCTCGGAAATGAAATCTTCCTCTTCTTCCAACAATTATCGGGACCCCGCAATCCATTCGTCCACCAAGAGATATGACGATGACTACAAGCACAAAGAAGTGAGCAACTCCTCAATTCTACAGTATCCTTTCAGTGCCCTTTTTAAATAGTGGCCATAAAATACCTATGAATTATATCCCCCCTTTTAATGTCACTTTTGTGATTGCCTCATAAACGTTATTTTATTCCCATTTACTGTTTCTTGTAATGGGATACTGTATGTTTTTATTATAATGTGAATTTTAAAGGTTTCTGTCAGGACGAAAATGGGGGGAGGGGGGTCCGAAAAAATTTTGCACAACATTTCAAAAATTCTCCACCTTTTCCAATTCGCAATATTTCAAAATGTCGAAAATTTCGGTTTTCAAAAAGTACCATGCGCCTTTAAACCCAAAGTTTCAAAATTGAGCAAAATGTGTCGTGTTTAGGCTCATTTTGAAGCGCTGAACTTGCGGATCCAAAAAATCCTACTTTCAATTTTGTATCTCAAAAACTAGTCGGTTACTGTAGTTTTTCTGAATAATTTCAAAAAAAATTCAGGAAAAAGTACGGTAACTCGGTTAATTTTTGAGTTATCTGCAAATAGATTGCATTTTTGAACTCGGCTTGTTATGACAATCGAAATAAGCCTAAACACGACGCATTTTGGTTGAATTTAAAATTTTTGGGTTTTTATAATGGACGCGTGCGCCTTTAAAGTCGATATTTCAACGCTTTGACCGAAATGGGCCGTGTTTAGGCTCATTTCAAAGCCCTAAACTTTCTGGATCCAAAAATCCAATTTAGAACTTTGTAAGTCAAAAACTCACTGGGCTACTGTAGTTTTTCTAAAAATGTACAAAAATTTCAGCAAAATGTGCTATAACTCTGTTAATTTTTGTGCAATCTAAAAATAATTTATATTCTTCAACTTGGCTTGTTGTGCCAATCAAAATGAACCCAAACACGACTAAATTCGCTCAACTTTGAATTTTGGTCTACGAAACCGCGACGCGACCGCAACGCGTTGGTCGAATTTCAAAGTCAACCGAAACTAGGCGTGTTTGGGCTCATTTTGAAGCGAAGAACATGACAGAACCAAAAACTATAGTTGAAAATGTCCAAAATTGCAGGTTTTCGCGTAAATTTCAAATTTCTGAAAAACATTTTTTTTGAAAATTTCGAAATACCTCTAACTTTGTCAGTTTTCAATACTTTCAGCTTAATTCTCACATTTCCAAGTTTGTTACGTTCTTAGCTTCAAAATGAGCCTAACCACAGCTAGATTTGCTCAACTTTGAATTTTGGTCTACGAAACCGCGACGCGACCGCAACGCGTTGGTCAAATTTCAAACTCAACAAAAACTAGTCGTGTTTGGGCTCATTTTAAAGCCAAGAACATGACAAAACCAAAAATTATAGTTAAAATTGTTTCGGGGCACACTTTATTAATCAATCACTTTTTGAATTACTGTATTTAGTTTTAAAAAAATTATAAAGCAGGATTTTTGGGGAAAAAGACAAAAAAGGGAGGGAAATTCATTATTAAACATGGGGAGAAAAAGAGATTTTCTGGATTTTTCAGCATTTTTAGGCTTAAAATTGGTCCAAAAAACAAGTAAAAAATGGGGAAAAAAGTGGGCGTGGCTTCTGCATCAAATCATCTCCTCCTCATCGACGACAACTTGTTGCATGTATTCCTGTGGTCCTCCAGCACCACCTCCTTCCACCTCCTCCTCCACCACCATCATCTGATGCTCCGAATGCTCCAAATAATGCGCTCCCGGGTGCTCCTCCTCTTCCAGAATCTGCGTCTCATCTCCCGCCACGATGTCCACGTTGAACATCACATTGATATTGTGCAGAAGGCGTTGCTCATCCCGCTGATACAGTAATTTGAAGATTTGGTCGAAGGTTTGGTCCTGCGTCTCCACACCAAACTGCTTCTGGGCAATTCTCCATAGAGCGTCATTGCGGACGGAGCCACGCACGAAACCAGCGGTTGCCTGAAAAAAAAATGGCTTAAAATAGGGCTTAATGACTGAAAATTCAAAAAATAGGATTCAGAGCTTATTGAGCTTCAAAATGAGCCTAACCATTGCGTTTTTGATCCATTTTGTCCTTCAAAACGCTAAAATTGACATTTTTATGCTTAAAAACGCTTCTAAAACCCCCGAAAACCCATATTTCCATCGAAAAATGACATTTTTCAAAAACATGCTCGGATGGCCTAGTGGGATTTTCGACCCCCAACTTTGGAGCCAAGGGGTCACAGGTTCGAATCCCACCGGTGGCAACTTGTTTTTCAAAATGTTTTTTGGGGTTTTCAGGGGCGGGAAATTCGAAAATCGAGGTTAGAAAGCTCAGAAAAATGAGATTTGGGCATTTTTGGATCTTTTTTAAAACTTTGAAAACTCTAAAATTGGCATTTTTCGAAAAATTGCCTTTCTAAACTCATTTAAAAGTTATATTTTTGTCTTAATTACGCTGAGAACTTAAAAATGAGCCCAAACACGACCGGATTTGGTTAAGAATGAGCAGTGGGCAAGATGTGGCCTAATTTTGCCCAATCTTCAAAATCGCCGGAAAATGGTCGTGTTTGGGCTCGTTTTGAAGCTCTAAACGTGGTAAAGACGAAAATTTGAGTCTTAGGGTCCCAGATCCTTGGATTACTGTAGATTTTCAACTTTTCAAAGTTTAGGATTTTTCCGAATTTTCAAAATGCCATAACTAGCTTTTTTCAGTCCAAAAATCACATTTTTCAAAAAAGTGCTCGGATGGCCTAGTGGGATTTTCGACCCCCAACTTTGGAGCCAAGGGGTCACAGGTTCGAATCCCACCGGTGGCAAATTGTTTTTGAAAATGTTTTTGGGGGTTTTCGGGGGCGGTAAGTTCGAAAATCGAGGTTTCAAAGCTCGAAAAATGAGTTTTTGGGCATTTTTGGGTCATTTTAGGATCCTAAGTTCCCAAAAAACCTTACCACATTCTTCTCCAAAAACGGATTTCTTCGGGGTCCATTCCCCTGATGATCATAGGGTACTGTCTCGGTGTGTTCCACAATGATCTCCTCCTCCTCGACCATCATCTCCTCCGAATCCATCATTTCCACGTCGATCATTCCCGATTGCTCATCCTTCGTCGCATAACTACCGTATGCCGTCTCAACGTCCAGCTCGTCGGCTGCCGATTGTCTGAGAGCGTAGAGCATGCCACGTGTCACCTGGATGCCGTGCACTTCGTAGAGCGATTTGATCGCCTCGCCTGGATTCATCGTTCGCATGTAGAGGTCGACGTCTTCTCGAATATTCTGATCCAGGTTGTGGTACCTGCAAATTTTGAAATTTCAGAAAATTCAATTTCAAGTCAATTTCACACATTTTAAGCCCAAAACCAGCGTTCTAGTTTCAAAATGAAGCTAGTTATGGGATTTTGGAATTTTTCAAAAATTCCGAATTTTGAAATTTTGAAAATCTACAGTAATCCAAAGATTTGGGACCCGAAAACTCGAATTTTTCTTTTTACCACGTTTCGAGCTTCAAAATGAGCCCAAACACGACCATTTTCCGGCGATTTTAGAGGGATGAGCAAGGAATGGGCAAGGATAGGCCAGATCTTGCCCATTGCTCATTCTTAACCAAATTTGGCCGTGTTTGGGCTCATTTTGAAGCTTGTAACGTGATTGAGCCAAAAATTCGAGTTTTAGAGCCCCAGGGCGGCAACTTTCCAGATTACTGTAGATTTCTATTTTCCAATATTTTTAAAATCCCATAATTGACCTAATTATTTAGCTAAAACTCTGATCTCAAGTTCAAAATGTGTGAAATTGTCCGCTTTTGGCACATTTTAAGCCCAAAACCAGTGTTCTAGCTTCAAAATGAAGCTAAATCCTAAATTTCGAAAAGTTGAAAATCTACAGTAATCCAAGGATGTGGGACCCTAAAACTCACATTTTCGTCTTTACCACGTTTAGAGCTTCAAAACGAGCCCAAACACGACCATTTTACGGCGATTTTGATGATTGGGCAAAATTAGGCCACATCTTGCCCATTGCTCATTCTTAACCAAATTGTGTCGTGTTTGGGCTCATTTTGAGCCATTTTTCCGGCTAAACACAACCTTCCCAGTTCTGAAAAATTACAGTCGCTAGAAAAGGGTCAAACTCTCAAAATTCCAATGTTCAGTTCGGGCAAAATTTTGAAATTTCTCATTTTCAGCCAAAATTTTGGGATTTCGGAACGGATCGGGCTTAGTCAACTTGAAATTAGCACCAGGCACGTTTAGAGCTTCACAATGAGCCCAAACACGACCAGTTTCCGACGATTTTGAAGATTGGGCAAGTGCTGGCCAGATCTTGCCCATTGCTCATTCGTAACCAAATACGGTCGTGTTTGGGCTCATTTTGAAGCTCAAAACGCTCTAAATCCTTACCAATCATCACTTCCGCCTCCACCTCGTGCATAATGTCCATGAATCGCCTTGTGAAGTGGCTGTGGGGTCTCTCCGGCCTCCGTAAACGAGTACATGATCAGCGCATGGCCACACGGGCCACCATTCTTCAACACGTACACAACCTTCTTCCTTAAACGAGTGCAACGGGGCAGTGTTGCTGTGTAGGTGTGAATTTGATACGTAGAGTGATCGGGAGACTTGGAGACACGAAGTTGGCCATGGGCGTTGACCATCAATGGCGTTTTGCACGATTTCGGACGAATTGTAGGGCCGGCGCCTGGCAAAAATCGGCTTTAGCTTGTTTTTTTCCCTTACAAATGAGCCCAAACACCACCGAAATTGGGTCAAGGATGAGCATTTAGAGCGTTTTGCGCTGCAAAATGAGCCCAAACACTGCATTTTTGACCAATTTCGGCCTTTAAAACCCATAAAATTGCCATTTTCATGCTCAAAAACGCTTCTAAAACCCCCAAAAATCCATATTTCCATCGAAAAATCACATTTTTCAAAAACTTGCTCGGATGGCCTAGTGGGATTTTCGACCCCCAACTTTGGAGCCAAGGGATCACAGGTTCGAATCCCACGGGTGGCAACTTGTTTTAAAATGTTTTTTTGGGGTTTTCGGGGGCGGGAAATTCGAAAATCGAGGTTTTAGAGCTCAGAAAATCGATTTTTGGGCGTTTTCGGATCTTTTTTGTATTCAAAAACTCTAAACTTGACTTTTTTGACAAATAATTTTTTTCCCATACATTTAACAGTTAAATTTTCGTTCTCGGCGCATTTGGAGCGTCAAAATGAGCCCAAACACGACACAATTTGGTTAGGAATGAGCAATGGGCAAGATCTGGCCTACTTTTGCCCAATCTTCCAAAAATGGTCGTGTTTGCGCTTATTTCGAAGCTCTGAACGTGCCTGATGAAAATCTTAAATTCGGCTAAACCGATTCTAGTCCGAAATCCCGAAATTTCGGCTGAAAATGAGCAATTTCAAAAATTTGCCCGAACTGAACATTGGAATTTTGAGAGTTTGACCCTTTTCTAGCGACTGTAATTTTTCAGAACTGGGAAGGTTGTGTTTAGCCGGAAAAATGGCTCAAAATGAGCCCAAACACGACACAATTTGGTTAGGAATGAGCAATGGGCAAGATCTGGCCTACTTTTGCCCAATCTTCCAAAAATGGTCGTGTTTGCGCTTATTTCGAAGCTCTGAACGTGCCTGATGAAAATCTTAAATTCGGCTAAACCGATTCTAGTCCGAAATCCCGAAATTTCGGCTGAAAATGAGCAATTTCAAAAATTTGCCCGAACTGAAAACTGGAATTTTGAGATTTTGACCTTTTCTAGCGACTCTAACTTTTCAAAACTGAGAAAATTGAGTTTGGCCGGAAAAATGGCTAATTCGATTTTTGGGAAATATCAAGGGCAAAATCGGCCCTATCCCTGCCCAAGCTTGCCCACAAAATTTTCGAAATTATGATAATCGAGTTCAGCTAGTCTAGACAATCAAAATGAGCCCAAACACGACTAGTTTTGGGCAATTTTGAGGAAAATGGGCAAGATTGGGACAGATCTTGCCCATCGCTCACTTTTATTCAAAATCGGCCGTGTTTGAGCTCAATTTGAAGCTCAGAGCGCTCGAAATTTATATTCTAGCACTAAAAAGCTCAAAAAACCGGATTTCTTAGCTGTTGGGCAAGTTTAGGCCAGGTCTTGCCCGTGGCTCTAAAATCGCTCATCCTGGACCAAAATCGGCCGCGTTTGGGCTCTTTTTGAAGCTTAGAACGCACCGAAAACAAATTCTACCGTTTAAAAGCTCAAAAATGCCCAAAAATCCAAAAAACTCACTATTCGAAACACTTTCGGACCACGGGACAAGCTTATCGATCGTTAATGCTCGAATATTCAGCTCTCGCATGTCGACAAAGAAGACGACGAGTCCTTTTCCTGTGATCGGCGGTGGAAGATCCGGCACTTTGTTGTTTAGGCATCCCATTTCTTCGCTGGAAAAATTGGAAAATTTGAATTTTTCAAAGTTTTGAAAATTTTGCCCTATCCTTGCCCGAGTGTTGCCCAAAACTAATGAAACCTAGTTTTTCATGTTCAGCTCGTCTTGCCAATCAAAATGAGCCTAGACACGGCTGTATTTGGTCAGGAATGAGCAATGGGCAAGAATTGGCCCAAGCTTGCCCAACAGCACGGAAATCTGGATTTTCAAGTCTTTTGGCGTCAGAATTTGAGTTCTGCGCGTTCTGAGCTTCAAAATGAGCCCAAACACGACCGAATTTAGTTGAGGATGAGCAATGGGCAAGATTTGACCTATCTTTGCCCATCCCTTCAAAATTGCCTGAAACTGGCCGTGTTTGGGCTCATTTTGATTGTCTAGACGACGTCAATTCAGCCAAATAGGCCAAAATGCAAAAAATCCGGCTCAGGGCAAGTTCCGGGCAAATTTATCAAAAGATCAAAACCTGCCTTAACATTGCTTATTTTCGCTATTTTTTTCACCAAATTCCTAAATACATTCCCCTGATTGACCAAATATCGACTTTTTCAAATGTAGACAATCAAAATGAGCCCAAAAACGACCACTTTTAGGCAATTTCGAAGTTATGGGCAAAACATGGCCTAAACTTGCCCCTTCCTTGCCCAAGTGTTGCCTAACTAATGAAACCTAGATTTTCATGCCCAGCTCGTCTAGCCAATCAAAATGAGCCTAAACACGACTAGTTTTGGTTAAAACTGAAATTTGCCCTATCCTTGCCCAACACTTGCCCAACGCTTCAAAATTGCCCAAAACTAGTCGTGTTTAGGCTCATTTTGATTGCCTAGACGAGGTGAATTCAGCAAAACGAGGCAAAATTCAAAAAATTCAACTTCGGGCAAGTTATGGCGCAAAATTGTCAAAAATGCCCAATTTTGCGCAAAATTGCTCTAACTTCGCCAATTTTTGGCCAATTTCGCTCATTTTTTCGCCCAATCCCTACATAATATTCCCCTCATTGACCAAAAATTGAATTTGTCGATTTCGATCGGTCCAAAAGTCTCTATCCGTCACGTGGAGGTACAGTGTGCCGTCTTGGCACTGATTGGGCAATTCGGCGAACGGCGACGTTCGATGGTCCTCGGAGAAGAATTGCTCATCCGTTGGGTCCGGCTGGACAGAGTGCTGAAAACATGAACAGGGTTACTGTAGAAAAATCTAGAAAAATTGACCAAAATAGGTGTCGAAATTCACAATTTTCGCCCGCTTTTAGGCCATTTTAGACCCAATTTCAGGCAGTTTTAGTTCATTTTCAGGCTTTTTCAATCCATTTCAGGCAAGTTAAGGCCAATTTTAGGCCAATTTAAGTCAATTTCAGGCCATTTTCAGCCATTTTCAGCCAATAACACTCAATTTTCAGCCATTTTCAGGCTATTATAGGCCACTTTCAGGCAAATTCAGGCTATTTTCCGGCAATTTCAGGCCACTTTGGCCCAATTTTAGGCCGATTTGAGTCAATTTTCAGCCAATTTAAGGTTTGTGATATTTTCAGTCAAATTTAGGACATTTTCGGGCAATTTTAGGTAATTTCAGGCCATTTCCAGCCGATTTTAGGCCATTTTCAGATAGTTTGAGTTCATTTTCCGCCAATTTTGGGTCATTTTCAGCCAAATTTTCAGATTCTTACATTGAAATTTCTCATCGATTGCCGTTTTGGCACCGGTTTGTACTGTCCAGAGCTCAATTTCGGGATTCGGCCCTCCGTTGTGTAGTCGTAGATGATCAGGGCGTGACTGACGACCATTTTCGACTCGGTCTCCATCAGATAGTAGATCTGCAAATGTTAGATTAGGCGCGAAATTTGAAAATTTGATGGAATTTGGGCGAAAATGGCCTAAAAACTAAAACGTTTTTTCAAAAAATCTGCCCTAACCTTGCCCAATAATCAAATTTCGACATTTCCATGCTCAAAAACGCTTCTAAAACTTCAAAAAACCCATATTTCCATCGAAAAATGACATTTTTCAAAAACATGCTCGGATGGCCTAGTGGGATTTTCGACCCTCAACTTTGGAGCCAAGGGGTCACAGGTTCGAATCCCACCGGTGGCAAATTGTTTTTGAAAATGTTTCTAGGGGTTTTCAGGGGCGGACAATTCGAAAATCGAGGTTCTAAAACTCAGAAAATGCGTTTTTGGGCATTTTTGAAGTTTTTGAAGACAAAAAAGATCCAAAATGCCCAAAAATCCAATTTCTGAGCTTTGAAACCTCGATTTTCGAATTGTCCGCCCCTGAAAACCCCTAGAAACATTTTCAAAAACAATTTGCCACCGGTGGGATTCGAACCTGTGACCCCTTGGCTCCAAAGTTGAGGGTCGAAAATCCCACTAGGCCATCCGAGCATGTTTTTGAAAAATGTCATTTTTCGATGGAAATATGGGTTTTTTGAAGTTTTAGAAGCGTTTTTGAGCATGGAAATGTCGAAATTTGA